TGGAGTGGGCATTAAACTTTCTCTCTCTCTCTCTCTCTCTCTCTCTCTCTTTGCTTAATGTTTCTACCGCATGGGAGAGTAGCTTTAATAAAAGATTAATAAACATTATTAGCTTTACATGTACTTCTATTTTGTGTGTACACAGAGATTAAGGTACTTGAAATTACTATCCCCATTACATTATAAAAAACATTGGGTATGAAACGAAACACTACCCGCTTCAGTTTAAAAGTCGATTAAAAATTCCCATATAAACCTACAACATTCTCCTCTACATACCACGTACTACATTTCAATGATAAATCATTAAAACAATCATTATAAATCTCAAAGATGATGTATGTTCATCTGATATATAAGACAAGATACCAATCAGAATTAATGGTACGAAAAATCTCATGTAAAGTACTTCCTGTTACTCTATTCTTGTTTTTGTTTTTTGCCGTCCGGTTAGAATAATTATTGAGTGTGTCTTTGACTGGGATTTGAATCTAAGAATTAGAAAAAGGATATAGAATTATTCATTCCTTAAAAAGATAAAGCTTATATATGTACCTGTTTCAACACTGATTGTAACCTTCCGATAGACATTTGCGTCTGATTTGGAGGAACTCTATCTGTTCCATTATTTCCAGATTACAGAGAAGATTCAGTTTCAAAATAGGCTCAGTTCATCAGTTTTATTTTTGTGGGCATATCTCATAAACCATTTTTAAAGATATCTTTATGAAACTTCTTTTACTATGTGTTTTTTTTGCTTTCTATGAAAATAAATTTGACCTAGATTTTAGTATACAAGAGCATGGGATATTGATGACTCGTTTAATGTTAACTTTAAGATCCATTGATATGTTAATTATCTCAAACATGGACAGACCTTAATATATAAGAACAAAGGACAGACCTGTTCATTAAGAAAATGTTTGACCTCATGCAAATGTTATAGATGTTACAGAAATCATATAATTTATTGATGAGAAAACCAATTAATTATGATGACTTTAATTACATCATTAGAAGACTGGATAGGTCGTCATGATTAAGCTTTTAGTATTAACAGATAATACTCAGAATGTAATGCGATTAACTGTGTGTGTGTATATATATATGAAGTGATTTGATGTATTTTTTTTCTCTTATTGTTATGACGAACGTGTCACATGGATTATTGAAATAGCTGGATGTTTTGATATCTGTTATCCGTCAAACCTGTGTTCAATTTGTCAATTGGTGTTAGGACTAGAGTAATGTGTCAACGCTTAATTATTGGATGAAATCATCGATTTCTTGTAAATTTTGGTTTACTTACCAGTTTCGAAAAGCTTTTGTAGATATATTTGCAAACCTGTGTTCCAATTTGTCAATTGGTGTAGGACTAGAGTAATGTGTCAACGCTTAATTATTGGATGAAATCATCGACTTCTTGTACATTTTGGTTTACTTACCAGTTTCGAAAAGCTTTGGTAGATATATTTGCAAACCTGTGTTCTAATTTGTCAATTAGTATATGGCTAGAATGATGTTGTGTCATCGATTAATTATTGCATGAAATCATCAACTTCTTGTACTAATTTATCAATTAGTATATGGCTAGAATGATGTGTCAACGATTAATTATTGCGTGAAATCATCAACTTCTTGTACTGCACATTTTTGTTGACTTACCAGTTTCCAAATGCTTATATAGAGGTTTTTCAAGCTATATTTCCAAATCCATGTTCAGTTTGTCGATTATTGTGTGAAATCATTGAATTCTGGTACATTTGGTCTACTTGTGCAGTTTCGAAAAAGATTAGCTTTTACGAGATATATTTCCATTGGTATCTTTTGAAATAACCAAAGCAAATGTATTACAAAGTTATTGTGTGATTGGAGTATTGTGGATGGTGGTTACATGGAATATACAGACTGATTTTAATATTTGGATATTCTAAGACGTATGCTTTTATTTGTTATTTTAATGTTAGTTTAATTTTCAACATTAGATGATTTTATTGAATTAATATTATCAAATATTTCAAAAGCGGATCAGATTACATTAGATAACTGGCATCAAATAATGAATGCTGAAAAATTGACAAACTATTTGAATTCGAATATATTTATGTGAGCATTAATTATGGACATCTTCAAAGTAGCAGAAATGGTATAATTGTGAATGTAGGAATACACAAATCTCTTTTATTCACATAAGTAATGTCGAAGCAGTATTTTCATATCAAGAATATTATGTGCTTTCAATTAGTAGAAGTTAATAATTGGTCTGTATAAACATATAATTACTCCAGAAATATATTTGAGCTCACGAAAATTAAGGGTGTTAGTAGAAGTCTTAGTAAGCCAGTAATTGTCTTCCATAGAAAAACGATTGTGTTTTATTTTTGTTTCTTGTCTGCAAACAGTGAATAAGTTCACAAGTTAATCTATGGACAAATAATGATGATGTAAGAATGACATTATTAGTGGTGATATACATTCGTAGACACTATGATTTCCATCTTGTTCAGAAAACGTATTAATAGCTATTTTTGGAATGAGGTAAGGTCTTGGATAATCTTTGTAATTAACATTAATATATAACAGAAAATATGTTGACCTTCTTAGCAATCTGATTATAGTACAGGGCCCTTATTCACGAAAACTTAAACTAAGATACAATCGAAATTTTAAGAAATACTGCAATTCGATTGGCTGACCAATATGCAAATTGGATATATGCAAATTGATTTTACTGGTCAGCCAATCGAATTGCAGTATTTCTTAAAATTTCGATTGTATCTTAGTTTAAGTTTTCGTGAATAAGGGCCCAGATCTATATTTTATACTTCCAATGGCCTCCACTGCATGAAGATCTGACCAGTTGTAGTGGGAGGTCGCGTCAGGGGGCATGAGTGGCTTTTGACCCTATGATGTCAGACTTTTGAATAACCAATCAGCATCAATGTTTCTACTGGGATTAGTAGCCACAGTGTATTAAAGACAAGTAAAACAAAATTTTGAACTATAAAAATCGAAATGAAATATGATCTGTGTTTTCATAAGATTGCCTTCTTTGCTGGTGCACTTTAACCTCCAATTGAATGAGCATTTGTCAAATTTTACATTTCTGTTTACTTACACTGCCATTTTGTTTGTCATGTGAAGTTTCAAATGGATTTGATTGTCTGAGGAATACTAGGACTTGAGATACTCTCGCCGGAGAGGAGATTACTGTTCTGCTTTGATTGGGCTAATGAAGATGGGCATAACGCCATACAGTGTGCTATAATATGAGGGAATTTGTGCCTGGACAGCGGCGCTACAGCCTATTCTTATATCGAATTCCAAATGCCAACGGATTTTTAATGGGCACGCCAATGTATACACAGGACCTCGGTTTTTCGTTCTATCCGAACAACTATACATTGTGGCTTGCCAGTCCCTCGATCCTGCACCACTGACAAGGAGGAACCATGCCAAAAAGTCCTGATGAACTTTTTATTTCATTAATTTGCTGGCAAATAGGGTTTTTTAGCAGTGAGAGGAGCCCAGAGAAAACCCACAAGGTTTTATAGGCGACCCTAATCCTTGTCACGTAAAAGCAGGGAACTGAAACCACACTACTTGACTCAATGACAGACTTTAATTAAAAAAGAAAAGACATGATCTGTTAATGACATCCTTCTGGATCCAGAAGATAACAAAACATTAATTCACCCAAATCCACGAATAATTAAATCAATATTCCCAAAGTCTTATTCATGACATTTAAAGACTAATAATAGTTACTGTATTATAGTGTAGCTTGTAAGATTAATGAATGCGAGAAGTGTAATATTTTACCATACAGATTAGAATAAAGGCAGGAAAACAATAATTAACTGGAAAAAAATGGTAATTTCATCTAATGGATTTTTAATAATACTGCTATGATTTATGACAATTTCTATAACTGGGCCATAAAAGAAAAAAATATAAAACCCCATGTTGTATTTGTAATCTGAGTTGTTTTTAAAGCTGGGTATCATTTTTAAAAAAAAAATAGAATTAACTACTGTAATTAAACTTTATATCTTTGAGACAATTTTCCATGCATTATCTTATCTAGAAATTCCTTTTTAGGAGATACTGCACCGATTTAGCTGAAATATATTTAGAATTGATTAGAAACGTAATAGAAAGATTAAAAACAAATGAGCAAGGAAATCAGCAGCATTATTAATTGCCCGTTAGACTGATTATAATGGGTTCATTTTAAATGAAATGCAGATACATGGCAGTCATTGTTTTTTTTTTTGCAATTACAAGACCAGTCATTGTTATTTTGCAATTACTTGAACAATCAATGTTTCTTTTAAGGCCTTTAAGCCCTGGAATCTTGGGGTGGGGGCCGAATGGTGTGCACATGCACGTTGTATCAAAAGGTCTGTCCTTGAGTCGACTGGCAATTACAAGAGCAGTCATCGTTATTTTGCAAATACACGAACAATCAATGTTTCTTTCAAGGCCTTTGAGCGCCAGAATCTTGGGGGGTGGGGTGGGGTGGCCGAATGGTTACCGTGTGTGCGTTGAATCATAAGGTCTGTCATTGAGTCTACTGGCGTGGTTCGATTCCCCGGTTGTACGTGATAAGGAGTATCGCTGTCCAAACTCTTAGGTTTTCTCCGGGTCCTCTGGTTTCCTCCCACTGCTAAAGACCCCTACACGCAAGCAATTTATTGAAATAGAATTGAACCATATGTTAGTCCCAAAATGACCTAGTTTGTGTCGGGTTGACATTAAACCCCATTTCTCGCTCTCACCCTAGAATCTTGACCAAGACAAGTTCTTGTCAACAAGCGTCTTGCAGCTGAAAATAATTTTCCTTATTTTCCATGTCCAAACTTGGCGATCATTTTCATATGCCAACATTTCAATGGGGCCGTATTATGATGTCTCCCATGTAAGTCCTTCAGCCCATCAACAATTGGCTTTGAAACCAACTATATAATATTATAATCAAATGTTGTTGTATTTTTCAGAGTCAGAAATGTTGGGTAGAGAAAACATTCTACAAGAGAGAATGTTCCAAGTTTATCAGAAGTCCCCGTGATCCAACAAAGTAAGTATATTTAACTGGTTTTACTTTAAAAAAAACTTTGCATTTCGATGTTACAAGTTCGAATCATGTCATGGGAAAAGAACAATCTCAGAATTTTTCATGATCAGTTCCTACTTTTCAAGGGTAGTAGCTTCGTATCTGACAATTCGGATTGTACGAAAAATCTACATCCACCAATGTTCACACTGGAGTGCACGTACAAGAACCCTTGACAGTGGGAAATGAATGAAGAATAGGTGGAATCCGATGGCAAAATTCTACTCCCTGCCATATCTTATCCTATCCTATAGCTTGTATTCAAAGCTGTTTTTGTTGTACTGTCTGCGGAAATGAAAATTACAAATAACAAAGATGCCTCAAATTGTTATTCTTTGCTGCTAACAATGAGGCAACATTTGATTTTTTTTTTGCATGCAAGTTTTTTTTGCATTGTCATAATATAGCACCAAATTTTGTGCAGTCGTTACAGTGAAAATCAGGAAGTTGTGAGTGAATGCTCGTCTTTTCAGCTGGGTACATTTCTATCATTAAATACATAATATGTACTACTCGGTGTTAGTATACGTCCGTGGATGTATCTTGCCGTCACACATGTATATGTATGTGTGTTTCTGTGTGTCGCCTAGAGGCCGCAATTCTTAACTGATTGTCTTGAAACTTAACATACTTATTCCTTATACCCTAAGGATGATCCCTATTGTTTTTGGGGCATGCCCGGTCCCCATGGGCAGAACCACACCCATTTCTTGTACATCTCTATCATTAAATACATAATATGTACTGCTGATTTTTACTGAGATCCAGTGGAAATGAACCCTGATACTACATGTAAATGAAGAGAAGTTTTTTAATAATGATTCAGAAAAATTACATATTTAATGTCATATATCACCTTACTGAGCTATATTTTTATTCCTGTTTTATTGAAGGCATTCAGTACAAAACTTCCCACATATTTTATGCTCTCTTCCTAATATTAGTTTTAAGTTGAATTGAGTCACTGATATGTGGTTTAAAGAGAGATATTGCTGTCATGAAATGGACAATATAACCTTACAGGTTTCTCATCAACTACTAATTGAAGGTTACAGTTTTTACAAATTCTCTAATCGTAGCCAAATACAGAGAGAGTCTAACAAAAAAATGGCTTTTGTCGTCTAATCTTATATAACTTCAGACACTTATTTTTTAACAAGTTCAAAATCGCCGGGGTTTTTAAGACAGGGTTGTGTTACATTTCACACATACTATATAAGCCAAACCAGTTTAACTATTCTGACCTCTTCGATCGAAGGTTAGAGTTCACTACGCATGGGTGGCTTCATATTCTTTATTCGGTTCTCGCACGCTTTCCCCTTTTCTGTGGTGCAGGTCGGTGGGCCTGACAAGGATAGCTATCTAGTGGTGTGGATGGGACGAAGAACTATGTCCTGTTTACACATTGGCATTCACGTAAAAGATCTTTTGGCAGTTGGAAATTGATATAAGAGTGGACCGTAGCGCCACTGTCTGGGCAAAATTTCTCTCACGGCACACTGTATGGACTATGTCCGTCTTCATTAGGCCAGTTGGAGCAGAACAGTAGGACGCTAAACCATATTTCATTTTATTTCTCTAAATTTGCGTAATGCCTCTTTAATTAAAAAACAGTTATGTTTTGTATTTATAATTTACATACTTAGTCTTTTCGGTATTGGCGTTGTTGGATGGCTGAATGATTAGCACGTGCGTGCTACATCATAAGGTCTGTCATTGAGTCAACTGGCATGGTTTCGATTCCCCGGTTGTACGTGACAAGGAGCAGTGTCGCCTGTCCAACCTCTTGGGTTTTCTCTGGGTCCTCCGGTTTCCTTCCAATGCTAAAGGCCCCCACTTGCAAGCGAATTATTGAAATAAAATTAAACCATATGTTAGTCCCGAAATGACCTAGTTTTTGTTGAGTGGATGATAAAACCCATTTCTATCTCTTTCTTTTCGGTGCGTATCTATGAGAATATGACTGGATATACACATATATATGAAATGTAATCTGGATTTAAATCAGTTTTTAAAAAAAGAATTCTGTATTCAAAATTTCATGTTTTGTGGCAGTAAATACTTCACCCTTTCCATTTTCCCATGGCTTATGATGAAGAGAATTTACCCCATATTGTTTTCTTTTGTCAGTCATTCATTTTGATTTGGTCAGTACTCAGTTATGTTGTGTCTCGTTGTCCTATTGGTGTTCACATGCTATTGACACTCAATTTTACCACATTTATAATCACAGTTTTAGTAAAATAAGGATGCTTTTCGACTTTGAATTATTTCTGGAAATTACACCATTGGATTTATGGAAATCTTGTTTATATTCCTGGTTTCTTGATCATGGTATTTTTTGGGACAAGGCACCTTATTGATGTGATACACTTGCTATAGATAAGTTCCTTGACCAACTGGATATTCTAAACCCTTGTTAAATCACCCCAGGATTTTTGTCAGTTGTGTAATTGTCCTTGCTGTTAACAATTTCATTATGCAGGGCCTGGGCACAAGATCATCACACACCCATTAAACTTTCCAATGGAACCGATTACGCGGCCACATTTTATTATAAGAATATAGAAATGGAAGCACCAAGTTGGTGACTATGGTGATCAGTTACAAATGGGTTAAGGGGTTTTAGAGAGCATTTGGGACTATAACTGACTTCCGGCAATTTAGGTAAACTTTGATTTAATGGCAGATTTTGTGACAAAATATTTTAGTGCTGCCTAGACACCACAGTTTTTTTTTTGGGGGGGGGGGGGTTGTTGCATTTAATAGAATATTCCAGAATACATTGTTCTTTGATTTTTCTTTTATCGCATGAAAAAAGAACTTGATTGGCAATCGGTCCCAAATGTCAGTATTTTATTAACAAATCTTGACTTTGATCTCGTGGATAAGATAATCGTAATTAACCGCCACTGTTATTCTGTATTTTGTTTGAACGATGAAACCAACAAAGTAACTCATGGAAACACTTCATCTCCATCTAATTTCCCCTGTTGCTGACTATTAACTAGAGAAATCTCACCATCTAGTTAAAAACATCTTTTAGTGGACATATTTATATCACGAGTATGAAATGGCGAGACCGATGTGATTTCTTTATCTTCGCAACTACTAGAGAGAAATGGAATTTAACGTCCACTCAACACAAACCAGGTCATTTTGGATCTAACACACAGTTTAATTTTGTTTCAATAATTCGCCCGAGCGTAGGGGTCTTTAGCAGTGTGAGGAAACTGGAGTACCCGGAGAAAACCCATGAAGTTGGACAGACAACCCTACTCCTCGTCACGTACAACCAGGGAATCGGAACCACTCCAGTTGACTCATTGACAGACCTTATGATACAGCATGCATGTGTTAACCATTTGGTCATCCCCCACCCCCCTCCCCAACTAATATACAATATCTAATTTAGTTCTGTGTATGCAGTTTATAGTTGCAACTTGTAGATAGGACAGCGATCACAGGTTTACGACAGTCAGCTTTCTTATTTATGTGTTACAAATTTAACCTCGTCAAAGCTATGTCACAGTGTCTGGTTATAGTAGCCCAGTGTATCCAAGGTTATTGTAATGAGAAAGAATGTCCTTGTAGTGTTTCTGACATGAAAACAAAATGTTGACATGTCAAGAATAATAGTCAGTTTGAATTTAATGTTTATAACCCACAGCTCTGTGAAGTTAATGGGTACAAATGGTAATTGAATTGGGATTCAGTTCTATGAAATGCAATTACTTTTTATTACTGAGGGACATTTCCAATAGGTTTCCCTAGATTTTATCAAGTGATGATAGAATAGGGAAAAATTATAGTACATTATATATACATGCAGACAACAATAACTATACAGTTGTATCCTGAGGAAAGTCAGGAGTAACAATAAAGAGTCAACAATATATAATGCCAACACTAGTTGGTGTTCAGTCATAAAATGTTCCAGGTCTTCCCTACCGTCACCCACAAGGACAGCTTTGGGAAAACACTGTCAAACAGTATCTTGTTAAGATTTTATTAATCTGTCTTTCTAAAATTGATGCATGTTGTCTATCTTATTACAAGCGAGAAGCCTATTGCTTTTCAACAATTTTCAGTAATAACTTATTCACCTCTGTATGAAGTCTTCATTAGCACCTTATATATAAATTAATACAAAGTACAATTTTATGGATACACAATTACTGAGTTTGATACAATTCACATATTTGTATCATTTGCTTGATAAAGATGAGAGTTTCCTCGACGAAACGTCGCTTAGTATCAAACTCAGTAATTGTGTATCCATAAAATTGTACCTAGTGTTAATATGTTTAATTACTAAATGCCAATCAAAGAAGATATATATAAATTGTTTAGCTCATAATTTCTGAGGCAACTTATTAGCATCCATTTATATATTATGTTGCCTGGCAACCTGTATTTTTTTTTTTTTTTTTAATTTTGATTTTTAAGGAGATAGAATTAAATTCCTGTGTGTCTAGTTAGTGTCAAATAATCGTATTATGGCCCATAGTGTATAATATGGTCTGAGACTATTGATGGTCGCTCTATATAAACCGTCCTCATTAGGCAGCAGAACATTAAACCCGATTTTATTTCATTTAATTTCTCTTTCTAAATATCTCCAAAAATAGTAGCACAACCGTAAAGCGGCACTACTTTGTTTCAAGGTAAACGATGAAAAGATAAAAAATATGCCGACACAAACTGATTTCAACACTGGTTTAACAACTTTTTAACATTTTGAAAGTACTTTTTTTTAGCTCATCTTGGGAGCTTGTCAGAAATAATGTCATTGTGCATAAATAGACATGGTGATGCTATGACAAAAAGAGAACGGCTCGGTTGTAAAAATAGATATATGATGTTGTTCAAGACAACTGGCTGATCAAACAGAAAAAAAGGAGGAAAAAAAGCATCATTTTGATAAATTGTTAATTCAAATAGTTCTTAGAATCCACACACTG